ATGACCATTTTTGTTGTAGTGGTTGGAGTAGGTTTCCAATAAATTACTACCTGTTAACAAAATATTTTGGTAGAAATCTTGAATACTCTAAAAAAAAATGGTTACATGTACCTATATTATATCTAGAAAAGTGTATATATTTGTGAATGCGATTTGTGGTGTCAAAAGTAACCTTTACGAGACATTCTTTAATTTTGTGATCTTACGATGACATTGTGTAGGTGCAACGATGGTTCCCATGAGTTGGACAGTGTCCTTTAACATGTCAAATTGAGTTCAACATAGTTGTTGAAATTGGAGCTTGACTAACAAAAGCGAAAAGTGATGAATGTACAGTCTTTTTACATATTAAGTTTGACAGTCCTCTCGCATGAATGTGAGGTCTGCGATTGTGGATCCCACCCCCATGTGAGAGAACTGTCAAAATGTATGTGTACAAAAACTGTAAGTGTAGTATTTCTCAATAAAAGCAATTGAAAAACTGGGTTGTAGTGTTGCTTTCACAAATATTTAGAGGAGATTTTGTGAACTTTTCTAAACCATAAACTACTACTTTTTCACTATTAATTTTAAGATCTAATGTAAATTGTAAATGGATATTCCTTTCTTCCTTCCACATAAATGTAAAAAATTTTAAGATCTAGATTTGTAAATTAACGAGTCTCATTCTCTAAAAAAATATTTTTCTTCAAACTCATTTTCAATCAAATATTTTTTAAATAAAAAATAATTCTTTTTTCTTTCATAAAAATGGAAATCAAAGAGTCTAAAATTTACTTCCATTAGAAAAGAAAAAACATCCTCTTTTAAAAGGTTTTTAACCTAAAAGAAATAATAATTTTAACAAAAAAAATTCTTAAGCACTTCAATTTGATATCAAATCTTGTTAAAATGTTGAAACTGTGTGGTTCAAAAATCTTGTATTGAGACAATTCTAATCTTATATAGGAGAAAAGAACAAAAGAAGGTCCCAAAAGAATCCAATCCAATCCAAAACCGAAACAAAATCAGAGTTTGGTCACAAATATATATTGAAAGTTTGAAGGTTCCATGCAAAATCCAACTTATTCGTGTAAAATCCGCTTCAAATGGCTGCTGCTTCTCTTTCACTTCTCCGCCTTCAACCTCCCTCGATATCCCATTCCACTAATACCCACCACTTTTTCCAGATTCCCCATCATATCCCAATTCTTCCTCACTGCAAAACCCCCAAATTCAAGCTTTTAAAGAAAATATCATTTGCTCTTGCAGAATCATCAGATTCTCCAAATTCCCTTGATTCTGAAGTTCAGATTCTCCTCAAAGAACTCTCTGTATGCATCAAACTTTCATACCCATTTTTTCTTCTACTCATGAGTTTAATTCTCTGTCCCTTTTTGCTTGATACCTTTTTTTTTGGTGGTGCAGGATGTTTTTGTTCTTCCGGCAGATTATTTTTCGCAGCTGCCTCGAGATCTTCGGTTAGATGTAAGTTTATTTTTCAGTACAATTACTAATTTGCACGGTACAGTCGTGCTATGCTGTTCACTACTTCACAAACAAAGTTCATTGTGTTGGTGGTTCGGAATTTTTTAATGTTTGTGAGAATTAAAGCAAATTTATCAAGTTACAGAATTGGTGGGTACATTATCAATCGGAGGTCTGCACAATCAGGCTGTGTACTTTTTGCTTCGAAGGTGCTGGGAGCGTGTGAAAGAATCGGGGGTCATAACTGGCTTTGGTTGCGTAAAATTCTGAATGAATTTAAATAAACAATCTCCATCATAGTGTGTGACCATTTGTACAATTTGGGACAAAGACTGTATCTTACTTGGCGGATGATATTTGCTTGTGTTAGTTTAGTTAATACTGTACAAAGGTGTAACTATTAAAGTACGAGGTCCAATATTTGCGTATTGTACTTTATGGCTCAAATCGTATCCCATGTTTTGGCCTGTTGAAAATTTGTAATGAATTTATATGATAAAACACTAGAATACCATTGGAATATGTCCACTGTGGCTTGAAGACTACCCTTCATTGGAGGGGAATAAAAAATTTTCGGACATATGTCCTGGAGTTTTTATGCATTTGACAAAATCTCTGGTCAAGCTAAATGGAGAATCTAATATTACTTGAATGAAGTAAATCTAGTGGGATGAAAATTGTGCAAAATTGTGCATGAGCTTGTAATGCTGTTTTATTGATGTTGCTGTATACTTAATTTCTCCCTGGTGGGTAATTCTTATTTGAGAAAGTCTGACTGATTTTTCTGAAAATGTCAAAGATGAATGATGCAGCTTTTGATCTTTCAAATGGGCCAGTCAAAGATGAGGTGAGTTGTTCACAATCAATTTATCTGAAAAACGAAAGAGTCATACTCAATACGGTGTTAATTAAAAGAATGATGACGAAGAAAAATTTCAGAAGTAAATACTTGTGTGTAAGTATTAATCATCATCAGTAGAGTAGATTAATGTATTATTGTGCATCTTGATCTCAATGGGACTGTCATCTACATAAGTCTTAATGTCAAATGTTGTTTTCTTCGTGATTATCTGTTCCTTCATATAAGTTTCTGTATTTGGATTGCAATTACCATGTTGATATTGAGATGAAACCTTCTACTATCAAAAGTAGCTTTTCTAATCAAGTGGGATTATGCCTTTTTACTTGGAAAAAGGAACACTGTTCATAATAAACATTTATCTAACGATATAGTGCTTCAGTACTTGCAATTCGTATAGTATAGTTTTGCTCCTTAACTTGGTAAGATTGACAGTACAAAATAAACTATAATTGTGTATTTTCTAATATATTCTTTCCCCAACCACTGTTCTTAAAGCTTTTAGAGGAAATAATGATATTATTTTGTGAGCTCGAATGTTGCAGACAATATCAATAAACCAGAATTTGAAAGTTGAAAGAAAGATAAGATTATTGTTCTACATTTTGTCAGAATTGGGAACTTTGGAGCTATGTTTCTGAACGGACTAAAATAATTACTTCAATAACAGTAGCATTCCTTCCTGAGGTCCTGCTACATGCGATTTTGAATCAAGTCTCGCCATGGTCATATCAATTTTATGAAATTTAATATCTGAGGGGTGAGGTCCACTTATCAGCTTTCTTTCCACCTTTTTGACAAATTTTCGCAGTTGCTTGTCCTTATCTGCCATCTTCATATTGTCTGCCATTTTGTTTGATTGTCACCTCCAACTGCGGCATTTGTTGTTGTAATTTGTTCTGCAAATTCTTTATTCAACTCTTCTTTTGGCTATATTCTTCGAACTTTTCCTCTCTTCCTTCTTGTAAGTCTCAATCCAAACATGTATGGCCCGCATCCTAATTCTTTCCCATATATATAAGTTTGTTAAATACAGGAAATCCAATCTCAAGACTTCCAGTAACCAAAAATATAAATTGGATCCTATTTCTTATGTATTCCATTTGTCTCTTTGCCATAGAATATTCACTCCAGCACAGTATAGAGAAATTTAATTTGTCCAAACTGATATTTTCAGTGTGGTGAAGATTTGGGACAGACATTATTAAATATAAGTCGGGCATGGGAACGAGCAGATACAGCAACGTCTGCAACTCTAGTAAGCAAGCTCCCTTTGTTAGTTCGTACTCTGACGGACAGTAATAAATCAGGCAAGAATAAAATCTCATAGTTTTGCTTAGTTTTTCTTTCCTGTGCTGTCGAGGCCAAGGTTCTTCTTGCTTTTGGGTTTGTGACTCAAATTCTTTTCCTGATTTTAGTTTTTATTGCTTGTTAGCTCTGGGCAAGCGCTTGATATCTGCTGGGAGGAGGTTCCAGTCAATGGGCCAATATGGTCGAGGTGAACTACAGATGGTATCATGCGAATGTTTCTCTTTCTTTAAATGTGATAATGTTTTCTACTTAACATATTGAGTAGCATATATCTGCATTTGACAATTGCACCTAGTTTTCTATTTTGCTCGTTCTTTTCTGCCTTTTGGATCAACTTGGATCACGATTGTTAGTAAATCCTGGAAGACGTCATAGGTCTGAATACACAGTTACGAAGGTTTTTTTTTTTTTTAATTATCTCGAAGGTTATTATATACATGTAAGGGAACCCCCCCCCCCCCCCCCC